GGAGATTCCTATTCTTTAGGAAGCTTACTCAAGTAAAGACTGAGTGAGTCTTTCACCCATGTCTGATTAAATTCTGTCTTTGTCAGAAGTATTATTTTACAAGAATCACTAAATGTGGAAAACGGTCTCTGCTGAGCACAGCAGAGCTGATTTATGTGCTCATTGGTCAGATTGCCATTACTGGCTTTCATTCACAAGTGGAATTATTTCTGAAAAAAAAAATCATTGATTTAAATGCACATTCTAGGAGGATTACAGAGTTCCCATTCTGACTCATTTTCTTTGACTTCTGTGGAAAAATCTTTTTCTCTCAGTCTCTTTTTCTAGAATAAAATTTCTGGAGAAATCGAGCCATAGATAAATGAGAAGAGGATTCACCTCACCTAAAGCAAGGTTGTGCCCTGCTCTACTCACCTGTCTTTATAGCTATATTCTGTATTATCTTCTGGTTATGGACACATATTTCTTTCCTATCATATATGGTCTGTGATTATTATGTACCAAAAAGACAAGCCTGATGTTTTCTTTGGAGTTGCTGTGAGAGGCCTTTCCCTTTCCCTGTTAAAGAGTTGAGTTCCTGCAAAGGAGTCTGGTGCTGCATGACTGATCAGACAGACCTCCTCTCCCACGTGTGCTCTGGGGAACAGGGAGGTAAAAATAAAATACCTTGTATTTATGTTCCACCAGTAATTCCTGATGACTCAAATGGGAATACAACTATGCCTCTAAAACCAGGTCTGTGAGATTTTCATTTTTCCTTTCACCCAAGGTAGCACAGAACTGGAACCTTCCATTTTTCAAATACAAGAGCTCTGCTTTTATAGATGTCCGTTCATTTGAGCAACAACAACAAACGTTTCATGTCTCCAGCAGTGCAAAAGCACTGAATGTTAAAGCTCTTTGGTCTGGCTGAATATCTCTCACAGTCCTCTTGCCAGAAGTTTTTTGGAGGTTTGCTTAGGAGTGTTTTGGAAACCATCATTTCTTCTGTCTGAATGAATGGTTTGGCCAGGAAATCAATCTAGCCACACGAGTCTGCTGACCTCCCTACACCCATTTTGCTTCACCAAATACCTTTTTTTAGACATGTGTGTCCTGGGACACTGGTGGGAGGACAACTGCTCATGGCAGTGTGAGGACAGCCACTGCTTCACTGGTCTCTGTGGGCAGCAGCAGCTGCCTGAATTATCACGCGATGAGCTGCTGCATCTTTTCCAAAAGCTCTCTGGCTTTTCTTAAGCAAACTGTGTTTCCAAACAGTTCTACTAATGCAGTTTGCAAAGCACATATGTGCTAGTGCTTTGCAAGAAGAGCACGGTAACGTGTCGTCCTCTTCCGCTCGATCCACCTGGTGTCTGCATCTCAGGCCAGTATCAAGTGTCATGATTGATGTGTTTGTAGCTGTATGTGCTGCAGAAGCAGCGGAGCTCACACAAGCTCAGCTTAGGAGCTTGTCTAAAAGGTCTTTCCTGGCAGATTTTTTTGTGTTTCGTGTTTCTGTCTCTTATTTCACGAGCTCTGCTCTTCCTGGAGCTTCAGTCCTGCCTCTGCGACCATGTCGATCTGACCTGCTTTATGTGCAGAGGAAATCACTCTCAGAGCTGGCAAAACAACAAATGTGACTTGCTCACAAATGTGTCCAAATTTGCAGTTCCTTTAAAAAAGAAAAGGAAAAAAGGTTATGAATATTGTGTGTGGACTCTCGGTGTGGCTTTTGCATAGTGCATGTGTGGTGGTAGTGGTAACTGGAATGATGAGGTTGGGAATACTTTGTACCTATGTAGGGTGCTGGGTAGAGAAAAGTCACCCCACCTCGAAGGGCTCTAACGGTGACTGGGGAGCAGGGAGATTCATACCAGTCCTTCTCTCCCACCTCCCTGCCTGTCCTTCAACCACAGGGAGACTACACTACCATGTAAAGGGAAGATAAGGCCATGTTTCCAGTCTTGGGCTGCGTGGGCCAAGCAAAGCCCAGGCTCTGTCCTAAATGCCTTACAGTGCTCCAGCAGGGCAGTTCAGCAGACAAGGAGAAAGAAGGGGACTTTGTATCTGCCAGGGCTGCACACAGCATGGCATGACCAACCCACGTTTAGTAACCCCTTGGTAAACAGCCTTTTTCATCACCAAAGGCATGACCTTGAGCAGGAAAATCCAGAGCCTTGTTCAGGTGGGACTGTTGCATGGTGTAACACGCCTCCCTCTGGAAACCTGTGGGTTGGCTTTTGCCGTGGCTTGTGGCTCTTGGGGGCTGATGTTTGGTCTGCAGAGTTTTCCTGGCCCTGGATAAAACTTTGGACAAAATTCTTGCAAGCAGGGAGGGTGAGCTGTGGGCCAGCTCAGGACTGGGGCTGTTTCTGCCCACCTGCTGCCTTCCTGGAATGACAAGGGACAACTGACTGTCGCTTCCCCGGGTCGGTTGAGCAAAGAGTGCTGTGGCAGGAGAGGTGCTGTGTGTCTGTCCATGCCCTGGCTGTGGCTGTGCTGCCTGGGTAAAGGAGAGGGAGGCAGCAAGGCTGGGGCCTGGCCCTGCTCGTAAAACCAGGGCTGTTTTATGGTGGAAATGGAGGTCCCTGCCTCTTCCATCATGAACCTCAAGGTTCCTTTATCTGGATATGCCTTGAGCCTGCTGGGCTGACATAGGTTCGCATGTCACAGTAATAAAACCTTCGGGTGGATGGGGTTGTCCCAGGCTCCATTAGCCTCCTGTCAACTCCCTTCCATTACCAGAAGTTAAATTGGCAAAGTGCTGTCAACTGGAGGTAGGGATTTGGACTATGTTACTTACAAGCTGTTGTAAAAACCTCTCTGTACGTTAATCAGCAAGGTGAGATCAGCTTGTCGTCAGTTCTCCTGAACCTCCCAGCGAGCCCAGTCCCCACCAAAGGCAGTGAGTCTGTGATATGGCTGCTTGCTCCAAGTCATCCCTGGGAGTGGCAACCTCACAGAGTGATCACTTCCAGCATTTCTCCTTCTGTGACTGCAGCCCAGCTCCCTTTGCAACAGTAATGGCCAAAGTTAATCCTCCTGCAGCAGCAGTGGGAGCATGAGCACCTGAGGGCACTCCTCTTGGCAAAGCCCCTTGGCAAGGAGCCCTCAAGCTTCCCCCACTGCCTGTGGGGCTTTCAGTGGGGTGAGGGCACTTGGAAAGTCAAAATCAGCATGATGAAACACTGAATTTTGCTGATGCAAGGTGCACTGATAAACTCGCCAAGCATCACGTGGAGCCTGCGAGGGGGAACTATCCAAAGGCTTTTGAGTGGAAGATAAGCTGCCCCCGATAAACATTATCTTGCACTAGTTGATTTAACGCCACTTTGTGTACATGAAATAACATCAACAGGAGCTGGCTAAACCCAGACCTTTCTGGCCTGCTATTTTGCCCCTATGGAGGAATGTCAGTAAGTCACCTGGGATCCGTCCTCCTCCCAGCCCCTCTCTCACTTACTCCTCCTGTTGTCAAAAGACAGATGATTTGGATTTTCTTCCTGTCTGGGAAATGAACTTTGACTTTCTCTAGCTTGTTAAAATGATTCCTGTATGTTCTAAAAATCTAACTTTTGACCTCAGGTATGTAATAAATTATTGGTTCAACTTCTGACTGAGGCTGTATATGGTTATAAAATATTCTGACTCTCACAGTCTGTGTTGTACAAGCTGGCAGACAGGGCAGGCTGCAGTCTCTGCTCTGTGCACAGCCAGCTGGGAGCAGCAGCTCCACTCAGAGCAGGTACAAGCTCTGCATGCTCATAGCAGGAACTGGCTTCTAAAACAACACAGGTAATGATTCTCTGGAAGAGTAGCTCTCCCTCAGCATTTGTACAACCCAGCATCTCTAATGATATTTACTGCTGAACTGAGAATATCTCAATGCACCAGGCTATGTTCATGTGTTATAACTTAGGCTTTTGGTGTCTGCTGGGGCAGATAAAATATTCAGAGATAACAGTCTAAAAATGTTTAATAACATCAGCTGACTGCTTTCTGATGTACAGCCTGACTTGTATTTTACAGGCGTGTGACAATGTTTGAATTTTGTAAAAAAACCCTTCATCTTAAACTGTATGGGATTAAACATCACAGTCCCCGATTGCTCCTGGGGAGGGAGTTGCCTTGCCATGGTTTCAAAAAGTTGAAAACAGGGCGCTTGTTCCTAAAGGGCAATTGAGAAATCTTTGAGCAACTTGTTTGTTTTGTTTTTAAAGCCTTACTGACATTGGCACATCTCTGGTCTGTTTCGTTTGGGGGGAGTAAGGAGGTTGCACCCATTTCTAAGGTGCTAGTCTGAACATGTATATTGATGACTGCAGTTGAAAGCACTTCAGCAGAATCTCCTGCTAATGGGACTATTGGTTAATTTAAGCCTGTCTTCTGTCTCATTACTGAGAGTTTCCTTTGATTTGAATAGTTTGTCATCTTTTGTAATTGTTCGTTACAGTTTCTTAGTTCTAGGGAATGTGTGAATTCTTCTGACAGGGTGCTTTCAGGGGCAAAGGAAATAATTTTAAGGTGCTTGAAAAGTTAGTAGGTAATCTAACTAACAGTCATGTAACTGGGGTCTGAAACCAGCTGAGAAACAATTATGGAATCGGAACCTGACAATGTGTTGGTGGTTGTCAGGTCTCCTGTAGCAATCTGCTTTTTGTACTTATTTTCTTCCTGGCAATTCACACTGAAATTGTGGGAAGAAGCTGAGAACTTCAGCATTTAGCATGAAAGTCAGGCTTTCATAAAAAACTAAATAACTTTGCTGTGAGTGATCTTTCATAAGGACGGATAGTGTGGTAGGAAATGAGAGAAGTGTGTAAGATTGTGGGAAATGCCAGTTGCAGGGCATATTCCACTCTCTGGTGTGCAATAAAGTTTACACAATGTCCATAGGTCACAAAGCCTTTCATTGAGGCAGCTTGTATTTTCATGCTTAGTGCTGCCCAGTGCTTGACGTGCACCAGGGAGCAGAGGAGGTGCTGGTATGAGCTCTCACCTGCATCGCTTTCTTCCAGACGCGTATTCAGTCTCTGCCAATGACAACGGGGGCAAGTCGGATTCAGTGGCCAACTTACAACCTCAGCCATCCCTCAACTCCATCCAGAGCTCTCCTGGCCCCAAGCGCTCAACCAACACCCTGAAGAAATGGCTGACTAGTCCTGTGCGCCGGCTGAACAGCGGGAAGACCGAGAGCAACATCAAGAAACAAAAGAAGGTGCGAGATGGCCGGAAGAGCTTTGACCTTGGCTCGCCAAAGACTGGAGATGAAACCACTCCTCAAGGAGACAGCGCAGATGAGGTGTGTGTTGGTGTTTGTTGCGGGAAAGACTGTGTCTCCAGTAGTCTCTTCTATGGTCTGTGAGTCATGCTTGAGTAAACGCAGTTCCCTCAGGGTCTAGAGGGAACAGCAAATCATATGTAAAATCGCATTGTTTAAAGCAATTAAACAATGTTTAAAGCTGTGTTGCAAACAGCTTTGTCATCCAAAGAGCAATGGAATATATAGGGAAGAGCATTTCAGAGTTTGCAAATATTATTGTCCTTTGACTAGATTTTTAAATAGCCTATTAGAAAGCTGCCAGAGATAAAAATGAAATTATTCTTGAGCAGCAGAGGTTCATATCAGCTTTATCCTACTATACCAGTGTAATTCCTTTTTGAAAGAAAATACTCAGCCATGTTTCTGTTAAATCTGCTATGTTCCTGTACCTGCAGTTTTTCTGCAGGAATGTTCTTCACCAGAATGGTGCTTTCCTGATAAAGTGAATGAGGAATTAAAAACCAAAAGTGCAAAAGATACTAACTGAATGCAAACAGAGGAACACATTTTAAAAATTGTACATTGAACAGTTATTATTTGAATGAAAAAAATACTAGTCTATCAACACACAGCTATAAGTGCCTTAGCTGCTTGGCTGACCTATAAACCGTATTTCTGTAAGCCTTAGAATGCACCAGGATTAACTGGCAAAACCTTAAGTCGTTATTGCTTCTCTCCCATTACCTGCAATTCTGTCCATCCAAAGCAATATTGACCGTGGGACTAGGGCTCAGATACCTAAAAAGGTAAGGGAAACCCATCCCTGCTTCTAATTATATCTAACTTTTCTTCAGAAGAGCAAGAAGGGTTGGGGAGAAGATGAACCAGATGAAGAGTCTCACACACCTCTTCCTCCTCCTATGAAGATTTTTGACAATGATCCAACCCAAGATGAGATGGTAAGGCCTCTCCCCTACTATGTAATTTTTCTGTTTAAGTGCATTTCTCACATAGCTATACACAGTGGTTTCACAGTGGTCTTCTAGTATCCGGAACTAGCCTAGACTTGTGGTTATAAGAGACTCCTACAAGCAAATCATAATCTAATACCTTTTTCCAACTGGATTTACAGATAGGACTAGATAAGCAATTTAGTCCTGGCATCCCATTTCATGACAGGTTGACTGTGTGCCTGTGCTATGTGTGGTCAGAAACTCCATTCAGACTAATACATCTGATTTAAAAGTACTGTTGGTGTCTGGCTGTGGCAGTAGAAATGGTATTTGGTGGCATCATGCTGGTGGTGGTAGTTCTCTGATGTTAAGTAGAGTCTCTTGAGCGTTAAGTCAGAATTTGCCTTGGTAGATGGCACAGTGGCTTGCAAAGTCCTTCAGTTGGTCTCGGGATGAGAATCTGTGAATGTGGCTGTCACAGTGGTTTGCATTGACAGTCAGTGCAGGTCCTGTCTGCACATGTCCTCCCCCACCCTTTCCTGGTTCTGTCGTTCTCCCTTGTAGAAAACTATCCTCCTGTTTAGCAGTTTCCTGCTTTCCTGCTGACATCTGTTTTTAGCACTGCCACTTCTGTATCGCTATCCTCTGATTGTAATTGCTGCAGGCAAAGAAGCAAGGATAGGGGAGATTAATAAATTGTCAGACAAAAAAAACAACCCAGAATGTTCTTGGGGAAGGTTCAGGCAGGAGTTTGGAAATACAGAGAGAGAAGGATGTAAATATTTCTGGGACTCGAGGAGCAGAGTGATGGAGTAAAGGATTTGGGGGCTTTCTGCTAATCTGTCAGGAAATGTTATGACATTGTGGTGGCAGCGAGACCAGAAGGAAGCAGCTGGAGTTGTGGACTCTTGCCCTTTCAGTGCTATGTGTGCTGGTGGCTGTCTGGAGAGGGGCAGAGGCGAAAGGTCGGCGAAGCAGAGCTGTGGTGGATCCATGCCCAGCACAATAGCTGTTGCTCCTGGCTTGTTCCCCATGGAGTTTAGCTAAATGTTTGGGGGCTGGCTTGCTTTTTGTGTGTGGGGGGTTGTTTTATTTTTTTTTTTTTTTAAGAAAAACAAAACTGATTTAGGTCAGGTCACTATTTTTGGTGTCCAACATGCCATATGACTTCAGTATTTCTTAAATACATTTCTGACAGCGTAAATGTTGTGGAACTAAACAGTTTTCTGCTTCTGATGTCTGAGCTTTATCAAGTGTTTTGGCATCCTATTTCTTTACCCACTCCTAACAGACAAGATGTGTCTGAAACCCTTTTTCTCTCTGTTTTTCTTCCTCTTCTCAACTTTTGTTATGGGGAAAAAAAAAAAACTAAAGCTCACAAACCTGGGTCCCAAAATTCCCTGGCACAGGACACTGTTAGCAATGTTCGAGCCATGCTGGAGCTGAAAGCTCTCTAATGGTGTTAATTTGAGCACAACTTCTTGCTCATGTGCTGCCTCTGTGCTTACAGGCACAGGCTTAGGTTGGATCAGCAGCAGCAGCATGAGGCAGTAGCTGTGGTAGGGAGGGAGATGTCTGCGTGGTGTGGGAGGTGACACTTTTCCCTGAACCCATCTGCAAGGCAGCAGTAATCGTGCCTCACTGCTCCTGGAGGCTCTTAAAAAGATTGGAAGATATCTTTGTATTAGAAATTCATAATTTGCTCCCTGGGAAATAGAAATACCGTATTTTGATTTCCCCCACACAAACGAGACTCTTGTCAATCCCAGAAGTTTTATTTAACCCTGAAAGTCTTGTCAGCAGCAAATGTTTCCTTGCTCCCTTTAAAATCTTGAAGTTATTTATTTTTCAGAGATATTGAGCAATTTCAGTTAAAATAAGTGAGAGCAACAGCTGTTTAGTGCCTCCAAAAATTGGACTCCTCCTGCTAGAATGGTTATGTTTGGCCATTATCATCAATATTGTCCAGTATCTCTTCAAAGTCCTTATTTTCAGTCTTCTTCTTTTCCTAGACATGTCTGTCTGCATTGTAGGTGAAACAGGCTGTCTGAGCTTTAACATTTGTATGAGATTCCTGCATTACCAGCCTAATTCCTTAATTATCAGCCTGATTACCTGTAGTTTTTGTTGTTGTTCTAATTAGAATTGCTGATTAGATGTATTATTTGTGAAAGACAAGACGATGACTGGCAGGCTGTTCATGTTTCTGCTCTATCACAAGGCTTCTGGTTAGGATTAATCTCCTTTGCCTTCTTTTTCTTCTCCTGGGGCTGTGTCACTCAACAGAAGAAACCTTCCCAAAGGGCTGTGGAAAGAGGTGGCCAGGTGCCTAATTCCTGCCATCACATTTCCACCTCTCATTCCCCAGCACTATTTAATCTCAGATGCGTGTTTGTTGGCACCTGCACAGTGATTTCACTGGAGTAGCTGCTCTCCAGAAGACCTTTATTAAGCAACTGAGAGATGAATAAACTTTTTAATGGAAAATTTATAAAAATTAGCCATGCTTTAGTCTGTGTCAGCCTGCTGAAAGCAGGTTATAAAAGGGCTTATAGTTTAGTAAGTGCTTGTATGGCCTTCAGAAGAAATGTACATACAGGTGAGCTAATAAATCCCAATTCCCATAGCTATCGAGTGGGTTTGGATGTTCAAAGTGAGGTTTCCCAGGACAAAGATCAAGGAGTGATATGCCCTTATAGAGCAAAAACCTTAAACTAAAACTGAGTATTTCACACAGAGCCATGGGGGTGCTTGGGAGCACATTGAAGAGGTCTTAGTGTTTCTGGAGATCTGTAAGTGGAGACATCCAAAGACACGACATGATGTCAGGCACCTAAAATAGAATACCTGTGACCAGCAGACAGGCATAGAGGCAAGACTGTGCCAGGTACCCAGGATAGATGAGACATGTAGAGGTGTTTTTTCGCCACTGGTTGCAGAGAGAAGAGAGGGAGTTACATGTTTTAGATGGCTGAAGTTGCATGAAGGGGAGGTGTCATCCAAGTTCATTTGGAGTTGCAGTTGATCTGTGGGGGAGAGGGAATTATTTGTTCCTCCCTCCTCTACTGCCTGTAATTCTGTGTGTGCCTTGTGCTTAACTGCACTTATTAAATATGTATGTATGGGGGAGGGGGTAATTTCTTACTTCTGCAGTAAGATGATCAATTTTATGGAGGCCATAGATGTCCTTTGAAGGAGGAACCAGCAGACTTCAGGAGTATTGTGACCTGCTTGTAAATGAACTTCAGTTCTTTGATGCTGTTCCCTGGTTCCCAGTCTTGGAACTGCTGAGGGAAATGGGTAGCCAGAAGTGGATGGCAATTCCATGCTTGTCTGATACGGCGACACTCGCTCACCTGTCCGTGCATGTGGCCCTCTACCCCTCCAGCTCCCCTTCCGCGTTCGTTCTCCTGCCTCAGAAGCTTCTTCGCTGACCGCTTGGTTTCCTACTCCCTTCTCATCCTTTTAACTCGCTTTTCCTTTGCAACCTGGTGTCTTGCAGTCCTCTTCTTTGCTAGCTGCTCGACAGAGCTCCTCCGATGTCCCAACTGCTGCGGATCTTGTCAGTGCAATAGAAAAGTTGGTCAAAACTAAGCTGGTAAGTTTAGTGTTGTGAAAACTGTGTACACAACAGGCCTGACGTGACTGTAGGGAAGTGCTATAAAGGCTGCCTCTTGTTTCTGGTTTCCTTGCTTTCTACCTTCATCTGCTATGCTTTTATTAACCCCGTGTGCTCTGCTTCTCAGTAGTGTCTAATATTTTTGCTCCCCTTATGAGGTGAAGCCCACGTCTCACGTAGGCTCTACACTGCACAGTCAAAAGTCACTTCTGGAGTGGGCTTTGCAGAGCATGAGTTATTGTACTGTTCTCTTTCTGGGGTTTGTTGGTATTCAAATATTTTACGCAGTGGGATGTTTTGTTTGTTTTGTTTTAAAGCTTGTTCTGAGGCACGGGAGTTTTACTGTGTCAATTTGTTTGGTATTCTGGTTTCTCTTAAAAAGACCCTCTAAAGAGTAGAACTGCTTGAAGTACCACAGCTGTGCTTTAATTTTACAAAAATTCATGTGGCACTTTTAATCTGCCTTGTCAACTCTTTCTTACAGGGACTGGAATAAGCAGTAAAAATGCTTTGGAATTAATTTGTTCAAAAATTTCAGTGTCGTACACTCTCCCTGTCTGATCCCATGTCTGTTGGGCAAGGAGTAAATCCTGTTTCATATCCTGGCTTCTCTTAAGTTTTCCCTAAGCAGTTCAAAATCTTAAAATCAAAGCTAAACCTTTTTCTACACGTTCCGGGACCTCTAAAAGTAGCTAAATGCTTTCTTTGAACAAGTTAAAAGCAGGATTACGATGGGCCTACAAAGGTTCATTTCCTTACATGTACTGGAACAGTGAAGAGAGAAAAAAACCAAAACAATCATTAAATTACTGCAGCTCTGTGCAAGCAGTTTTATCTAGTGAATCATTTCAGAAGGTTTTGGTATTTTCTCAGTATGACATATTGGTACATGGAAAGACTCAGCATTCATAGCGTGCTTGATAAGGAGTGACGGGTGAAGGAGTTCTTTATGGGAAACCAAGAAGGATATTCCCAGAAAATTTACTCAAAATAGTTTTATTCCATCGAGGGACTAAAAAATTGAAAAGTATTTCATTAATCCAGTTAGACATATTTTTGGAGGTTATTTTATTTTCTCTCCCCCGCATACAGTCTATTAGACCATTACAGTTACTTTCCAGGGATTTGGGGGAAGCTTTAATTATTATGGAATGTTACTGTGTGTCCATCTTTCTGTTTCTTTTTGTGTAGTACTTTACTACAAGAATCCCCATTCAGCTTTTGGCAGAGAATCCTTGACCACATGTAGCCTAACAATGGTCCTGATTGAGACATCAGGATATTTCCAGGTTGTTTTGAAATAATTTGGAAGAGTTTTCTTGGAGCTACTGGAATATCTTTTTCCACCTTCTAACAGAAGGACATTTTCTCTATTTCAAGGCTTCTTTTTGTGGGGTCCTACATCACCTTAAAATTAGTTTGGTTGTGTTTCACTAAGTCCTGCAGGAAAGTGTTGCTGAATACTCTGCTTGTTGCTGAATACTCTGTAGTGTTGATTGCAGAACTGACTCAAATAGTTATGCTGGAGTTCAAGGCCTATGCTTATTCTGTTTTCTTTGGGGTTTTTTTAGACCCTTGAAGGAGGATCTTACCGAGGAAGCTTAAAAGATGCCACTGGCTGCTTAAGTGAAGGAATGACACCTTCAACGCCCCCCCGAAACCTTGAAGAGGAACAAAAAGCCAAAGCAATGAGAGGCAGAATGTAAGTTGTATTGCTTGTTCTTCTTTCCAAAATATGCACCCAAGGAGGACACAAAGCAGCACTGAAAAAGTGAATGAACATGGAACTGGGAGTAAAACTGTGTTCTGCTTGCTTCTAGTTTTTGTTACATTTAAAAACACTTCATAAAAGCAATTCCACACAGGAAGTTCATCATCACTCTAAAATGTACAGCTTTTACCCCAGATAGCACATATCTAGTGCTGTTAAAGCCTCTGAACAGCTCGACAAGTATTACTGAGATGTTTGCATTGGTAATTACTTCATTGCCAGTGGTGAAATCAGCTCTCAGAGGGGGAATAATGTGATTGACCTTGTTAGCTACCTTCAAGGAATAGAATAGAGAATCCCACTAGGATTTTTTGAATGAGATAATATTTTTTTTGCCTTAGTTATTAGCGAAGGAAGGGACAGGATTCAGATGCATTTTTGGTGCACCACTGAAGAGAAAGCTTCGTTTGGGAAACCCTCATGTTCATGGTAATGGGAGAGAAAAGAAATGGTGACGGCTCATGAAAGTTATTTTTTAAAATTATCTGTACACTCCCTTAAATGTAAGTAAAAAATAACACTTGTCCCTTCAAAGCCTATAATGATTAAAGCATTTCTTAAATGCATAGTTCAGCTGAAGAACACAGAGAATTGGAGAAACAGAATCAAGAATTATATGAAAGAGAGCTGAGGTAGCTGTTATCTTTGTATCACCTCTTGGGCTAACAACGGTAACTGCAGCGATCTAATCAAATGGTAGATTGGGGTGAAAGTAACGTTCCATACAGCTCTCATTGGAGTGTGGAAAGGTGAGAGGTGGAGGAAGAGCAGCCCATTTGGGAAAGATGCCAAGCAGGGAAGGAAACCAAGCTGGGGAGAACAAGGAGGCCGTTAAGAGTAGAAGAGGAAGTAGGAGCAGTGTCACAAGTCTGTGAAAGCCATCATTTGCTCCTGCAGTTTGTTGTAGGAAGCCAGAGCAGTGATACAGTGAAGAACTGGAGCAACTCCCAGCAGCAGACAAGGACATGACACTCCTGGATGTATTTCTGAATGGGAGAAGTTTCCTACTAGGCAGCTGTCAGCCTTCTTGCAGGGAACATCTCTGCCCATGAGTGTCTCCTGAAAGTTCCTCATTATTACAGGTTCTGGACTTTCTCTAGCAGCAATTCATTAATTAGGTAACTGGCAGCAAACTGCAGGTTGCAGTTTTAGTGCAGAGACCTCTGGCACTGTCAGCATAGTTACAGGAACACAGGAACACTCTCTAGCGTGTGATGCTTCTGGCGGGGGAACTGGTAGCGTGTTATGTGTAATTAATTAGTAGCTGCCAGAATTCCAAACACCAGGATGTTTAGGAGCACCTGCTAGTGGCTTTCAGCACAAGACATCTGTCTCTGCTCCAGCTCCTTTGTGTCTGTGTTCTGTATCTCTGCAGCTTCCTGGGCTTAATTCCATAGTCATGTGAAGCAGCTGAGCTCCCAGCTCGAGCTGTGATCCCCTATTCCCTCACAGAACAGCAGCTGAACTCTTGCACAGGCATGGGCAGTAATGTCCTGTGGCCCTGGCAGCACACATGTGCCAGCAGCTGGCCCTGGTTTTACGAAAATCCTATTCCATCAGGCTTAATTGCTGCATTTCTACAAGCAGTAAGACCATAGTCTTATTGAGTGTCATTGTTCAGTATGGATCAAATACAGAGTTACCAAAATATACAGGTATTCGGATTTAATCAGAAGTGAGGAGGCTCTACCCTTGTTCCAGTTCGTGTCATTTTAAATACAGCTGTGTAGTCAATACCTGCTGGTGACCAGGGCACTTTGCAAGCAACTGCCTGCCCTTGCTCCGTGTTAGTAGAGGAGAAGATGAGTGAACTTGAATTTTTGGTTGCTTACATCTTAGAAACCTTAAATTTGGGAGTACCTCTAAGGTGCTGTGTCAGGTAGGCTTCAGAGAACAAATAGAGATGGTCAAGGTTGATTTTTCTGCTTGCTAGGAAGAGGGGAGCTGAGGGAATGCTGGTGCTGAGTTTAAGGCAAGAAGTGGAGGTGCAGAACCTGGATCCTAATAGAGATGTAAATGTGCAAGTTTCATCTGTCCACCAGAAACCTGGTTGCTGCACTGATTTTTAATAAACACCCACCTGCCTGCATGACCTGCAGCATTAGGTACTGCAAGCACCTGCTGCTTCACTTTTAGAGCAGAATTTGGCCAGATAACCTTGTAGGAGGGAAAGGTTCTCCCCATTCCCTCAGCAGCTCTCTGTGCTTGTGGGTAGCAATGCAAATGGAGGGTGGTGCAAGCTGAACAGCACCTCCCAGCACCCGTCCCCGGGCAGAGTGGATGTGGTGAGCCTTTCACAAGGGCACGGTGGGTCAGCCAGCGAGAGGGGGCTGTACAGCACACGCCTGCTCAGGCCACATGGTGCTGGGCTGTGAAAGAGCAGCCTGTTGCCTTTTGCCCCGCACGTGTTTGCTGCCCAGGCACACAACTTGGCAGGGCACTTCGGAGAGCACAGGCATCTGGTGTGGCCGCTGCCAGCCCTGCCTTCTGCCAAGGGGGATGGATTTCACTCTCAAACGAACAAGAAGCTGTTTGACCTTTTTCTGACACATGTCCTAAGAACTGCCTCCGCTTTGTCTGAGCAACAGACACGTTGGGAGCGCAGCAGGAGCAGGATTTATTTTCTCAGTAACTTCTCCTAAGTCTCTCCTTGCAACACTATTCTGTTTTCTTCCCACTCTAGGTATTTTAAACCAGCCTTTTATCTTAGCACTGTTTGCCCTCAGCCCTATCACTTCAAGTGGGTCAGTCTGCTGATTGATGTGGACATGAAAGCACTCCTCTATCTAGTTAGCCTTGTTATGCTGTAGCAAACTTGAGCACAGATGGAGTTTATTTGTCATGTGCCAACTCTATGTATTGGCGTAATTGAGAGACAAACTGTCTGCAGCAAGCTGTAACTTTTTGAAATTGTCCTCGAAAGAACATGATGTGATTAGTCAGTTTGACTTACTTAGGAGGGACTTTTTTTAGCTTGCTGTTGTTTGCATGCATCAAACCTTTATTAGATGACTCTCCTACATGGGATTATTAGCTCTGAAATCAGTATTAAAACATTCAATACCCACACATAGGTTACCTAGTCTGAAAGATTAAGCTCTTAGTTATGACGGGAGTGGGGATTTGTTTTCCAAGTATTTGAAACTTCCGAATTAAAACTTAATTGATGACTCTTGGGCAAAGCCAGAGGAACTGGGGCAAGCAATCCTCTCCTGCTTGCCACAAAATGGGTCAGGATATGTCTCCATTGTTCTCAGGGGGGGCTGTGTAGGGGAGGAGGAGGAGGTCAGAGAGGGGTAGTTCAAAGTGCAGGCAGCTGGTTGTGCTGCTGCTCTTTGCACCATCCTGGGCTGTGGGAGCAAAGAGGGATAAGAGGAAAGAGTGGTTAAGAAAATTGTGACTACCCTGACCTGAAATGTGACATTTTTTTTCATTTACATTCCACTGAGCTCTAAGTGAGTGACGAGTGACACGTTATGTGATCTGAGTGACAGTGGGGGTTTATGGTGAAGTCATATGTGGTAAGAGGAGCAAACATCAAGGAATGTGGTCAAATATGTGTGTGTTCTGTTTTAATATAGGTTTGTCTTAAATGAGCTGGTACAGACTGAAAAAGACTACGTCAAAGACTTGGGAACTGTTGTGGAGGTGAGCTGAAGCAAACCCTGCTATGCAAAATGTTTTCCCACTAAAAAGCACCATGCTGACAAGTGACAACAACAAAAATACAGCATGAGAAACAAACTGCTTTATTTTGCACTCTGCTTCCATGGTCCCCTTCTCATGTTGACAGAAACAAGGAGAAATGCCTTTGGAAACTATTTTTGTTTCCATCTAACAAACGTTTTATTTTAGGTCCAACTCCAGTGTGCAAAGATTTTTCTTGGCTACCCTGCTTATGACAAACTCTTTCTGCTGTAATGCAGCCTTGGGGGCAGTGGTGGGGAATTAACTTATGCTCCTACCACTTATTTCATGCTTTTTTTCCTGTCATATTGAGTAATGATAACAGATACTTGAGTTTGCACCTGGGCTAATGTTCTGTGTCTGAGTACATTTCTAGAAAGTGGGCTTGGATGTGTGTTGAGGTGCATGTGTGGACCATGGATTATTGTTTTGAAAAAAAAACCTGAAAGAAACTAGAGTTTGGGGGTTTTTTTCTGTTATAAAACAGTCTTTCTTTTTTTTTTTTTTTTTTAAACTTCAACTTGTGAAGTTCCCTAGGGATCACCTGTCAGATCCAACTCACTCGCAGGGTCCATTTTTTTTCCCAGCAAGGACTCAGATCTGGAGGCATGTGATTCACTAGTGGCATTCACCAGTCCAAGGAGAATTGTCAGCCTATCTGATTTTCAAGAGCTTCCAAACTTGAAGACCTTTGTCTTATGTTCTGTTTATATCATGCACCACTGACAAACCTGACAGGGCTGCAGTGCTCCCAAGGCTTACAAATAAACTCTCAGGAGTTGTGAGAAATCCTGTTCATGTGACTCTTTAAACTTACTGCTTGGCTTTGTGCTCTCACAAAATACTCATGGTGATGAATGGAAGAACTCTGTACAAAGTTCTTCTTCCTCTTACTAGAGAAGCCAAGAGCTTGATAAACTACTTTGTTTAACTTTTATCTTACATTTGCACTTGTCACTTCAATTACATCTAATAGTGGTTTGTGTAAGTATTGTAGATATTCTAAACAAATTCTTTAAAGTTTTATTTTAAGCAAACTGTGTAATTTAACGTATCTAGTTGGGTTTCTGGTTTTAATTTGTACAAAAGATATTTTAATGCCAATCACTGATCCTTAATCCTAAAGGGCTTCATGAAGAGGATGGAAGAAAAAGGAGTTTCTGAAGATATGAAAGGGAAAGACAAGATCGTATTTGGCAATATTCACCAGATCTATGACTGGCACAAAGAGTAAGTTTTTTGTTTAGTTCCTTTTTAAGTACCTTTCTAACCACTGTCCATAAAGGATTCAGCTATATGGTGTCTGTATGTCCAAGCTGCTTTTAAATGAACATCAGCAGGTCATTCAGGGCTGAACTTCCAAAGGACATTGCCTGTCTTTAAATGGTCTCTGTTGGTTTGTAAGTGCTGCTTGATAACTTCACAAATCATGGCTACCTTGAATCCTGAGAACATGTTCTGATTCATGTGCTTTTGGCCACAGTTTCACTATACACTAAATCCTGATAGAGGGCTTTGTCTACCCAGCCAAAACTGGCACAACTGCATGATGCAAAGCATCAGTCTTACATGAAATCATTTTTCCCAGTGAAAAAAAAAAAACCAGCTTTGGTGGACTATAGCTTTGCACTGCCTGGCTTCATGGGAGGATGTTTGTCATGCTGTCTCTGATCACAGATACAGCTTTATGCTGGTTCAAACACTATGTCAGGAGTGCTGGTCAGTGTGACAGAAATGCTGCACACAAGATTCTGCTCTGTGTCAGAGTTGTGCTGCCAATGGCTCTGCCACTCCTTGCTGGGGAGCCGCAGCAAGAGGCTTCACTGGGAAATACCACTGTGGTCCATCCACAGCTCCTGAGCTACGGCTCATAAGCATTCCCAACATGGCCCTCGGAGAGTTGCTGCTTGTGGGGTATTTGCTGGATCCTCAGAAAAGCTATTGAGGCTGCCATAAATGTGTTTTGTGGGTCACAGCTGTAGGCTCAATTCATCCTACTGATGTGCAGTAGCAGTGCTGGAAAGTCATGAACATCTTCACACGCAGCCGATTGGATCATGAAGGCTGACCGTACCAGTGGTGTTTGGCTAGAAGGGCAATAAAATGCAAATTCCTTCAAGATCCTTCTCACATGAAATCTCTGACATGCTTTGGCCTAGTTGATGCTTTTGGCTCTGAGTTAAGAACTCCATTCCCTGAAAATCTTACTCATACAAGTAGATTTTGAAAAGCTGCTGGAAACACAAACCCTGGGCCATTTCCATTCATTTATGAAGTTATCTCTTGCTTATGGACAATATGATCATCATTTCAACTCTGCCACTCAGAAATACTCTACAGCTCCAACTAACTAGAATTTGAGCATGCATGGGCAGACTTGAGCAATGGACACTGGGCTGGATCTTCCTTCAGCTCTGGACATTTCCCTCACTCACGAAGCACAGTATCCTTCTCTTCATGTGTCCCATAGGTGCTTATCTCATAGCCTGGGCCTGTCCTTATGTTCTGACAGATGACCTTGTGAGCACAAACTAAGAAATGTCAGGAAAAGCTTCACCATATATTAAGTTGATTCCCGCAATGGAGTGTTTTTACCAGAGCTATTCCTTGTTTAGCTGTGATGGTAGGAGTTTTCTGTAACACATAGGAAAGGATTCCCTATTTTTAGTTCTGCATATCTGGGTCAAGAAGTCTATTTAAATGCAGATGAATGTAACATTTATAGAGGACTGACTTATGGGAGCAGCTGTATCTAATGGTAGTAGCAATGGGGATTTTTAGTTGGGACAGATTTCCAATTTGCATCCTTTTTTTGTGATTCTGGGATTTCTTGGGACCAGACCATTGCAGGCATGACCTCTCCCCAAATCTGGCTACTGTAGTAAATCCACGGAGGTATTTGAGACAGAAATCCTGAAGTGAAAAAGAGTAAGTTCATGGATAGGGAGATTGTCAGGATTTGCCAGCCAGATAGAAAAATCTAGCAGTATTTCTGAAGTTTACTTTAGCTGATTTTACCTCACTTTTAGGCATCCCAGTATATTCTTGATAAGGGCATTTGTGCTGGAATGAATGACCTCCCCAAAGCTGCAGGCCCAGATAGAGATGGTGTTTATGAATTACATATTATGAGTTATTATGAAATTAAAAACAGTGACAAACAGAACATACTGTAACTCCACCAGCAAAACATTGATTTGTTCATTCAAGTGGAAACTGCTGCGTCTCTTTCACATTGACCAGTACTCCAAATCTACTCATGCAACTGAGAACTCCTGGTAAAGCTTCAGTTGAGTTTTCACAAGTATTCTGGTACATGGAAAAGTTTTACTTTGGGAGTTCTCAGTGAAGGAAAGCAGCTCTTGTAATTAGTAATCGGCAATTTCTGAAAATTGAAACCACTGTAATAGTAAAGAAGAGCAGACAGTTTGCAAGAAAAGACCTCCACATTTCACAGCTCTCATCTAATGCTTTAGAAATCCCACCATTAAGGGCTGAAGCCAAGCTTACCTTTTCATTTATTATTGAATACTATAGCTAAAATTGTACGGACATATCTGAAGGACGACTAGTTTGCTGCTGGGATGGCCTAAAGAAGTATTCTGAAATGTTGATGTCCTTTCTTTCAGCTTTTTCCTGGTTGAACTGGAAAAATGTCTTCAAGAACCTGACCGTTTAGCACAGCTTTTTATTAAGCATGTAAGTTTTATTTTGTTACCTGTATCTAGTACAATTGTCATTTAGGGTGTGATGACTCTTTTCCAAAAACACCTGTTAGTTTACTTTTACATGTCTAAACTTAATTTAAACATCAAGTAACCCTTTAGTTATGCATTTTCAAGTGTGCAGCTGAATTGCACTAAGGCATTAATTAATTGCCTTCTTGCAAACAACTTATTTTGGAGGCAAAATTGATGTGGCCAAGGACATCTGCCAAAATACAATTACGGCAGGTATTTGCCAACTGCTACAATTTACATGTTCATGTGATATTAGCCAGAGCACAACTCTAGCAAATTTCAGACCTGCCATTGTGAGTATGACATCTCTCACTGGCTACCCCATGGAACCTTCCCCTTGCTTAAGGTGAAGTCTAGAACAGAGCCAGTTACCGATTTTCCTTCCCACTTCAGCAAACTAAATCTTTGATTAAACTAAAAATAAGGAAGACCAAGCAGAACATCATAGCAATTCTCTGCCACCCTTCAATAACAGAACAGTAGCCAAAATCTCACCAGGCTCCTGTGCCTCTTACCTTCACAGGAGCGGCGATTGCACATGTATGTGGTATATTGCCAAAACAAGCCACGATCTGAATATATAGTAGCCGAGTATGAAACATACTTTGAGGTAAGCACGGCCCGTTACACATTACTACTGCTTACAGCTGGGAGTCCTAGTCAAGGAGACTGTTCTGTAACCCGTGGGGTTTGTCTAAAGCAAACTCTAGAAGATTTTAATACAGCTCATGCTGCTGAAGTCTCTGCCACAGGGAGAAAATGTTATTATTTAATTGATTTCAAATTCTCCTATTGTTAATTTCTAATAAATATTTAATGCAGTGCTGACTGTGTGTGGCCCTTATAGTGGCCCTGCACTAATTTCTATACAAAATAAAATATGACTTTTTAATCAGTAGTCTACAAACACGGGAGGAGGTAAAAGCTGTTGGAGTTGGGCGGTGCCTCTCATAAATTCCAATTAACTTTGTCTGTTTCAAAAAGTCTTTGGGACTAGACACATTTAGATAGTAATGTGAAAGAAGCTTGTTTAACAAGGGAAGGATGTTTCCTTTTACCCCAGGATGTGAAGCATGCCTTGCAGGACTTATTTGTGAGCTAATCCTGCTGCAGTAGAAAGAGTGATCTTCAGACCTTGCAGTCCTGCTCTGTCAGCTCAGAGGGGGGAGGGATCCTGTGCTTTCCAACGCCTTCCAGCTCGGTCATGACTTTTACCCAGTCCTTGCCTAACTAAGATCTGCCAGATTTTTAAATCCTCAGAAATTCCCCCTTGTAAACAAAAGATTAAGAACAGACCAACTTTCTGTGGAAATAAGTCTCTGCTGAGACATTTTATCGTATTCTCTGTCTTACTCTGTGATTGTTTGCAATTGTTTTTAATCCTCAATTTGTAGGAGGTTCAACAGGAAATAAGCCAGCGGCTAACCATCAGTGACTTTCTGATCAAACCCATTCAAAGAATAACTAAATATCAGCTTCTTCTCAAGGTGAGTGGAAAGATCCAGTTTGGACTAAACTATAGTCTGCATGTTGCATTAGATGCTGTTATTTTAAGTCAGCCTTAGACATAACTGAGAAATAAATTCATCACATTAAGAGAAAAGAGGAGTCTGCTCTCTGGGCGTACAATGACAGAGGCCCATGGAAAATGTCCAGAGGGCACAAAGGCCACATCTGTGCAAGTTGTTTGTAATTTAGGATAGTAAACAGATTTTATTTTTTTTTTATTTTCTTTTGGGATTTTTTATAAAAGAGTAAACTTCAAATAGGAATTTTCTTCCTCTGAGGTTTAAGAGCAAACTTTCAATTTTTTTTTAAATTGAAACAAAGATACACAAGTGTGTTAATAAAGTCTGTCTTTGGTGCTGAATGGTGTGCTTTTAGTAAATGCTATAGCCTCCATTTCTGAATAGCTCATTTCAAATTTCCCTAAGAAACTTATTTCCAGAATATTCTGACGTCTTAAAATTTGAGGAGCTCCACACAATTTTTTTCTCAAGGAGCCTGACCACTCTGGGTTATACTGACTTATCCACAATGCCAGTTACTCAGCATTTCTGAAAATTCATCCTGAGGGGTCTCAAGCTAATATCTAAAATCAGGCATGTCTGAACCCTACCCTGTGATCGCCAGCAGCACCGGAGCTCGCAGCTGGTTTCTTCTCTCTTTTGAACTAACCTCAAGCAGGCTGCCATCAGCCCACAGTTTGGTAATTGCACACTAGCAAAGAGACAGCAGCGCGTTCCCCAAAATGCCAAAAGGAAAAGAAAACCCTTCATGTGTGTGTGGTCTTGTGGCTTAAGGCAGGGACCAAGTAAGCATTCCTAAGGGCTAATCCCAGCTTTGTCTTTTTTTATGTGATGTTTTCAACAATCATCCGCACCCCTTTTCCATATCTTTAAAGTGGTTATGACATTCAGCAATCTCTGCAGATGGATTTATTAACATTAGCAAATTTTTTCTCAGAAAATGACATACTGAATATGCTTTTTTCCTTTTCAAACTGGCACCTTTTGTTCTCTCTTTCTGAAGTGCCTTAATGCAAACCTTTCTGCTTTCTCCAGGACTTCCTGAGGTACAGTGAAAAAGCTGGTCTGGAGTGCTCCGATATAGAGGTACGTTTTCATGTCCAGGACAATACTGCTAATGGCACTTTGTATGGAGGATTGAAAACCCCAGTATTCCTTTGACAATAGTTGAAGATCCTGCTGGTATTCTAAATGTGGTTTTTCTCTTAGCATAAATCAGAATTAAAAAATGACGGCACAGTCTTACGTTTTAGGTGCCCCATCCTCTTTTTAGACATTAGCACACATCTTCAGTGCATGAGGGCCTCACCATGAAAAACTGACAGCAGCAATTGTGCTACTGAACTTCATTATTTGACACTGGGCTTTTAGGAACCCCCTGATTCTCTTGTAATAATTCAACATCCTTTTTCCTCAACAGAAAGCAGTTGAATTAATGTGCCTTGTACCAAAACGTTGCAACGATATGATGAACCTGGGTCGCCTCCAAGGCTTCGAGGTATGTATTAGTGTTCTGTTTATAATAATAACTAGGCAAGGAAAATTATTTTATCTTTCTGTGATTGTCTCTACTCCAAGCTGTTTATTTAATGGTTTTTCTTCTCCAGTGCTGAGCTTACGTGTTTTGGTGAGGTTTCAGAGGTGAGGGAGTAATATACCTCTCACTTTAAACTTGTGATAATCTATCTATTGTTTCTTCAAAATATGAAGCATTTCTGTAAAAGCTTCTGCAAGCTTTAATGACACTTCTTATAGCTATAGCCAGAGCAAAATAAGTGATGAACCAGCCTGCTCTGCCTTTTCGTAAGGTCACCTGACGTTAACACGTTAACAGCTCTGACTGACTTTGGCATCATCCAGGAGGGGACTTTTGAGTTACAACCCCACAGGTTACAACTTGTGGTTTGCAATTAAGCCAGTGTAGGCTTTGGTGAGATGTCTTATGTCCAGAATGAAGTAAAATTTGTCTTACTGTCTTATGCACTGTAGCATTCCTACGAGCAGGTAGGTCCTGGTTTTTTGCACCTTCAGAAGTGTTGTATCATTGACTGCTGGTTTAGGGGGTGATGGAGAGCTCATGACTAGAGAGAACAAGACACTACAGTTACCAATGACATAATGGGAACAATGTTTTAAATGAAGCATACAAAACAGTCTGCTTTGAGACCTCTTGCTTTTGGTTTTATATGCACAATCAGTGGCAATGAGAGCAAAGAAAACTTATGTTATTTTTCTTAAACTGAGGTCACAATTTACTAGATTGCTGCTTTGATAACCTGGGGGGGGGGATATGTCTCACACGAATGTGGTGCTGCCTGGAAAACTTGGACTGCATGAAATACAGCAGTTCATCTTGTGGGACCATGGTGGGTCAGGGTTTGTAATGGTGGTGCTTTGTCTGCTTCTCAGGGCAAACTGACAGCTCAAGGCAAGCTGCTGCAGCAGGACACCTTCTACGTGACAGAGCAGGATTCCGGAGTTCAGTCTCGGCCGAAGGAACGCAGGGTGTTTCTCTTTGAGCAAATAGTTATCTTCAGTGAACTCCTTAGAAAAGGATCTCTAACGCCAGGCTACATGTTCAAGAAAAGCATAAAGGTAAGAAATGGAGAGGGAGAGGCATATTCTGTTTGATAGTCCTATAAAGAAATGTTTCCAATTTTCTGTGCTATGAGACTGGTTCATCCTGTTATATGTGGACAGCAATGTGCAGGAAACATTTGGATCCTTTCAGTGGATCAGAAGCCATTTAAGACTGTCTCTAAATAAACCACTGGGTGTCTAAATTTACTGGGTAATTTTTACAAGGAACACAGCTAGGGCAGGTCCTGTGTCATTCATAGCTCTGAGTTAGCAAATATTGCTACAAAGCCTGCAGTAGTCAAAGGAAGTATGCAATAATCACTTTTAAGCATGATCATAAAAGGTAGAGGAAGGTAGAGTATCAAAAAAAGTCATCTTAGACCAAACTGTAAGTCGATACTAAACCTTTATATGACATTACTGGAAATACTCTTCCCTAATTCAGAGGGGGGCTGTTAGTTCAAATGTGAATGTTGCAAGAACATTTCAAAAATAAACAAAGCCACACAGTTCTCAAAATGCAGCTATGAGGAATTATAAAACCAGCTAAACTATAAAGAAAGCTGTAAGAAATTAATTTTCGTTTTAAATAATCTGTCCAGATTATGGAGATGGGACTAAAAGTAAAAATTGAAAGTGACCAGGAAAAATACTTCTTTGTTTCTTTGTTTGTTTAAGGGGTTTTATGTTTGTTAAACAAATGCAAAGTTAACCTCTGAAATCGTAAGTGAAGGTGAATGAATGCTGCACATCTCCTGGTAGAACAGCCATTGCTGTGCCTGCAGAAAGAACAAAATCACTGGTTCATTTGAATTTCTTGATCATTCGAAGCTGAGAAACCAGTCTGGGATTGATTTCCTTTTCAGAGATACAGGTTAAAAGAGATGTGAGACAATTCGCCCACACAATCTCAGATTGTGTTTGCTGTAAATTTTAAATGGTACATTAATATAAAATAGAAAAGAACAATATCAGGTGAAATAATGCATATTAACCATGTATAGCTAAACAAATCTATGATAAACAGCATATTTACTGAAATGAGGGCATCATCTTGGCTGACAGAAGCTGCAGCATTTACTGAAAAGCCTACATCTATTTGAAAGTCAGTCTATTTTATAGTTTCCAACCAAATAACAGGCTATAAAGAAAAAACCTAAAGCATATAAATAAACAATCATCTTGATTTAGATGATTGGCTTTGATTTTATCTTTTTGCTGATTTAAATCATTATTAAAGTTGGAGATGGAAATAGCATGAATCATTTTTACTTCAGTTTATTGTATGTATAACAATGAGGCTTTTATCTGCAGGAAACAATTCCTGAATTGTATATTGTAGATAAAGAGAGAAAAATAAATCTCTCCTAATGTCAATAAAATTAGCTTGCCCCGAGGGTATGAGTTGCTTTTCTAGTTAAACAGCCTACGAAAGGAATGCTGTTCCCACTGTCTGAGTTTAAAATTTTTTGTGTGATAATTTTCCAGTCCCTTTTCTTTCATTTGGCAAAACAGCTCATTCTCCTGTTGAGTGCCTACAGCAAGTGTGGGATCCCCAGTGGCTCCATGTGCATCTCCCCCACCACAGTGCGGAGTCCATGTGCTGGCAGCTCTCACACCTCTCACACTCTTGACTACCAGCCCATATTTCAGCTTCACGTTGCTTTTGCATTTCTCTTGTGCTTTCCCACAGAGATGAGCTGTGCCTCACAGTGCAGCAGGACCATTCCCTATAGTAGGATCATTCCCTGCCTCTCTGGGCTGTGGGCATCCTCACCTCACAGTGGAGCCGCCACCTGAGACAGCACCATAGATCCCACTTCCTTCCTCTGTGTCACAGCCACTGCTGAGCACTGCGGTCTCTCTGTTAGAGTAAAAAGTACATATGACTTCAAATGCAGCTGTTCTGGTCTGTCAGGGACATGAGGCTCCCAAATATTGTTCTCCAAGGTCTGTCACACTCAAACTGTGACAGAAGCTTCAGCATGATGTCCTACATTAGCTAAGAACCCTTTTTTATGCAGTGAGGTAATTAGTGTTGAAAAATGGCACATCCCTTCTGAGATACTTCTCAGTTGGGTACCTTTCAGACTCTCAAAATACCTAAGTGGGAGCTTTGGCAAATGCATCTCCCTGAGACACAAATAGGGAGTTTGAGGCTCTGACCTACACGTCCTTTTCCTGGAGTCTTAACAGGATTGACTTGCTTGCTTTGGCTATCAATCAGAGGAGGAAGAGCTCAGACCAAAAGGAATACCACTGTCCAGGCTCACTGTCTGTCCCTTTCCTTGTCCCCACCTCAGGAGAGTTTCTGCATGTCTCTCTAACTTCACAGGGATCCCCTGAACCAAAGGAAGAGGCTAATTCCATCTTGCAGTTTGAATGCTAGGCAGAATTCCCGTGTGAAGTGGATCTCTCCATATCTTGACAGATACTTAGAGCAGTTGGAGATAGACTTCTAGAGGAATGTTACTGCCTTAGTCTTCAGAGCTGTCTGCTTTTGACATGAAGACTCTCCCTCTTTTTTTTTTTTGAGAGGCTATGCCAACCTATTCTTGTTTAGTATCCAGAGTACCTCAGAAAAAGCTAGTTACAAGTACACTTAAAACAGAAGCCTCACAAGGACAGAACAGCAGCCAAAATTACCATCCATATGATTTCCAGAAAGAGCATCCATGACTACAGTCAAGTGAAATGATTGCACACAGGTGACTTTAATCTGCAAGAAATAAGATCTGGGGAAAATTTATCTTTTTTTTTTATATCTGTACACAGTCCATTCCATTTTTAAAATACTCTAATGACTGAGATCTTCTTATCAAAGGATAAGAGATGTAAACATTTATTTAAATTGGAGGAATGATAGACTTTATTACCATATTAATAGGAACATTTTTTTCTCTATTTATATGTTACAGTAAACTTTTAGCACATCAGTCAGATCTATGTCACCTTAAAATAGAAGTTGTAAATCAAGACAAGGCAGGTGGATGTCTGGTACGTCTATCAGAGCTTTATTAAGCATCTTATTTAAGATTTAGATTTATCTGGGTAAATCTATATGAGGCAAATTCTACTGATTATGATCTGACAGTTTGTCATTGGACTCAGTTATTTTCAGGAACATTTCACAACAGTTTTGATTCTTGGGTAATGTTAACTCATGCTCCATGTAACATGCTTACCTTGACTTGTTTCAGATGAACTACCTTATGATTGAAGAAAATGTGGACAATGATCCCTGCAAGTTTGCTCTAATGAGCCGGGAAACATCAGAGAGAGTAATTTTACAGGCAGCTAATCCAGAAATTCAACAAGCTTGGGTACAGGACATCAACCAGGTCCTGGACACACAAAGAGATTTCCTAAATGGTACGTACATGGTCTTTGCTCTGTTTCCCAAACCATGACACTGAATGGGATTTAGAATCTTTTTGTCTTTGTTTCCTCTTTGAGAAAAACATTCAGCGATTTCTTTTCATAACGAAAATTCCCAAGGAGAAAAGTCCAGCCCAGTCTGCCTGTCATTAAACATTGTGTCAAGTGGTATCCGCAGAGTAAATGGGAAAGACTCATAATTTACAGCTGTTCTTTGAAAAGAGGCCACCTCAATGCTACTACTATACAGTGATCTCTGTCCTGTATGCCAGGACTGCCTGGTGGGAAGATGAAAAAGGGAGAAGGGACAGGCAAGTCTGATCTGAACTGCTGTGTGGCCCTGGAGCCTGCCCTGAGAAGCTGCTGGAGCCCTGTTAAAGACACAGGTCATTCTGGCCTGGCTTTATTAGCAGCTTCTCGTGGACTGTTTTTGGCAGCCAACTGGCTCCCTCCTTAAATAGGGGCTGGGTCCCTGTGCAGTTGCCCTGAATGTATCAGTCAGGATCATGTTGAGGTCTCAGGTCCCTCTGCGGGTGGTATTTTTGTGCAAGATCCTTTAAAAATGCTGGGGTTTGCAGGGCTGTGTCCTCTGGTGCCTTCCATCCTACAGGGAGATTTTAAATCTGATCCCAACCTAAGACCTTGTTGAAGGCAGGTTGCCATTTTATCTACACAGTATCTCCCACTTACTCAGAGCAAGGTTCATCCTCAAGAACCTTCTACTAAACATCACCATGTGCTACAAGCTGAGGATGTGAGGTGGGATGAAGGCTGCCTCACCACCAATCCCCTTACAGGTCCCACCTCTACAGGGGAGCAGCTGCTTTTAATTAAACAAACAAACAAGCAAACAAACAAAAAAACAAAAGAGAGGACAAGGAAACAAGGACAAGGGCTTGTTTCTCCTAGAAACCATGGGAGCTGTACATGAACAGGGGCCTTTCCAAAGCGTCAGCTTTGCTTTAGGAATAGATTTGGGGTGGTTTGAAATAGTAGTTCAAATTCAAGCTGTGTTCCCAAAAAAAACCAGACAAACACACACGATCAATGGAAGTGTGTATTTTGAAAATGCAGAGGAATCAAATTCAGTTAACAGTTTTAGCTTCTTCTTGCTCATGAATGGATGAGGGAAAGAGAAGGAAACAGGACTAGAGGAAGAATCTAAAAATAGTATCTCTTGTTTGTTTGGAAGCAACAAAGTTGAAAGCAACAAAGTCCAAAATTGCTTTGCACTGTTCATTTCAAAACAGCTTTTTTTTTAATGCAGCTTATATTAAAGTTCTGTATTTAATAACTTAAAACATGTCCAATAATGAAACTTATTTACTTGAATCAGAATGTGTTGGCTTGGCACAATCTGTTAGATGTTTTGATTTTTGGGTTTTGGTGTTCGGTTTTGTTCCATTTTTGTTGCAAAACTGGAAAAGGCTCTTGCAGCTCACATCAAAGCAAAAGTTCCCTTTTCTTCAACGTGTAGGTTTTTAAAATTTTAAATCAGCTTAATTTTACTTTTGAGAAGTTAACTGGAAAGGGGTTACATGCAAAAATTGTTTGTGATAGTTCAGAAACTACTTCTGGGCTGAGAAGGGAAATAGTGTTTCACCCATGATGCCACCACTTGGTATTGGGTTTTCATGACTTGGAATAGAGAGAGGCTCATACAACAGCTGTAAAATGATTCCTTAAATATACTGGTGGAATGAGCAGTCTTAAGTTCTCCAGTTTGACCAGTTGGTATCAAAACCTGGATGGTTTTGTGCCAGTGCAGTTGGCTTTAAATGAGGGATTATTGGAATAGAAATAAGCTCCACTAATATTTAGCTACAGACTTTTTTTAAAAAAACCTTGTGAGAACTCCAGAGGCACTGATGCAGGCGTTTTCTATTCCTTCCACATCTTTGTTGCTTGTTTTTTTTATTTTTGATATATTTGTTCTTATCCTTCCAGGACTTACTGCCCTGTGAGACCCTTTTTCTACTGAAGCATCTTCATATACCCTATTTAGCCCATCTTCTGTGAGACTAGCAAACAATTTGATGGGATAGGAACACAGTCATCACTATCTTTGAAGCTAAAAGTAAAAACAGATTTATATTAAAACACAAGCTTAAGGATTTACCTTAAACCTATAAATAAATCCAAGAAAATTATATTGTATCCAGTAGAGCCTGTCCAGTCCAGAACATTTTAAGTGGCTTTTAGAATGTAATCTTATTGAGGCTGACTAATCTTTAAATACGTTCTTTAGCTTTGCATTTCATTAAAGCAGATGTTTTCTGTCTTTAAAATCATACTAAATCCACGCTGAGCCTGTGCTGTGTAAACTTAATAACAAAATATTCCCTGTGAGTTCTTGCTCAAGCTGTCTCTTGATTTTCTCTCTTCAATAGGGAAGCCCTAAAGAGTACAGGACTACGTTCAAAGCATCCACAGTTCACAAATGTAAAACTTAGTACAATTACACTGTAATATTCAAATTTTTCATATTTTTCCTTGAAAAAGCAAAGGCTGCTAAGCTTGAGAAACAGGCTGTGCACCAAAAGACTGGTTGGTGTGACTGTTCTTTCATTTTGCTTTAAGAATCAAACTGTAAAGAAAATATGTCACTGATGGATATATTTCATAAGGAAAATGCCATTCATCTGTACCTTTTTTTTAATCATGTTTTGAGGGGCAAGTTGAGAGAGAAAGAGAAAATGCAAGTACCTACACACTGATTTTGCCAGAAGCTTCTGAGAATACTAACAGATGTTTGACAGGAGGCTGGAAGCCAGGCATGACCGTGATAGTTAATGGTGGAATTAGTATCACAAGTGGACACTCAACTAAATACCTTTTAAAAGCACTTAGTAGAATAGACTGTTTCAAGATAGATTGATAAATATTCATTCACATCTTACTGCTAAAGACCTTGCAGCTGAATCTGCTGTATACAGTAGAAAAATGTCACTGTCAAAGTCGTCGTCAAAGTTCTCCCCAACCTTCCTTGCCCTATGTGGCTGATCTGCAGCAGGACCAAACCACTTCCAGCTGCAGCTGAAGTAAGCAAGTGAAACTGGCAGTAACTGTGGCATAAATACAATCTGCTTTTGTAACAAGGGTCACCACACAGGTTTTGGAGCCAGTTAATCTTCCAGATTGCTACAGATCTATGTTTGTGTCCTTTTGAAGAAAATGGTGAGCTGGCATCCTCCTTGATTTTTTTTTTCTTTTGTTCTTTAGTATGAAGTGATTTCTTTTTGGAGTTGTTCTGCCTTTCTCTGGAAGGAGAATGCTAGAGAGTGTGGTGCTGAGCCTTTCTATTTTTCTTTACTTTTCCTCTTGTTGGGAAAGACATTCCTTCTGTTGTGGTTCCCTGGTGGGGCTGATGCTGTGACATTATGTCCTCTGTCTGCCTCTTGCTAGACTAGTCTCTCTGCATTCCAGTAGGTTTAGTCTGGTGCATGTACACAGTATTAATTGACTATAAATCATCCATTAAAGCCACATGACATGCAAGAAACCAAACCCAAAGGTCTGGGGATGGTAGTCTGAGCCCAGAAAATCTGTTCCTTTCCCATTCATTGTGAGTTCCAGCCCTGATCCCTTCTCCTCCAAACATAACAAATTATTTATTTTTTTACAATCTGGAATTTTTTTCCTTCCCTTTTCCAGTGTAAGCTCTCTTCATGACTGTGAAACATGCACTCTCACAAGCAGACTTTTTTTTTTTAAAGGCTTATGAAGCTGTTTAGTATTGCCTGTTGGGTGTTTTCTGGAGAGGCCTGGACTGCTGGGGTTGATGTCTTAGAGCCATCTATACTTTCTCACTTGCTGGTCAGTTACAGCAGTTTCCTTGAACCAAAGCAGTTAATGTAAAAAGCACATTGAAAGCCAAGTGCCAGTGCATCATGTATAAAGAGTATTTAGTCATCGCACTTTTGGGAATACGCAAATGAGACTCAGGGATCTTGGCCTGTATTTTCTGATGTTAGCAAAATTCACTGTAAATGTACTATGCATCTCTTATTCAGGCTTTCATTTATTTTGACTAGGGGATGTGATTAATTTGTATGATTTCAAAGAACATGAATGCAGACGTATATTTTAGCCCACTGTGTTGGTTAGAGAAGCTGTTCTTTGCAGTAGCTGTGTTTAGTTCATGCACAGCACGGTGTAACATGCTTGTGTCCTGTCTGGCCATGAATGCACCGTGTGCTTTCATGGGTGGCATCTCCTGTTGCTGTTCAGTTTGCAGCTTACGTGTCTGTTCTGTTTGAATCACTCCACACACCCCCTGCAGCCCTTTGCAAGGCCGTGGAAGGCATGTGGCTAATCCTTGTTCCTCCCTTGCAGCGCTGCAGTCGCCCATAGAGTACCAACGCAAAGAGATCAGCTCAGCGGTGCTGAGGCCCCAGGCCGGGAGGGCCCCTCAGCCCAACAGCAGACCCCATTCCTCTATCCCAGTGGGGTCTGAGAAGCCTTTGAAGGCTACAAGCCGTAACCCATCTCTCCCACCCCTGAAGATATCTACCTCCAACGGCAGCACAGGGTATGAACACTCACAGCCTGGAGACAAGTATGAACAAAGCAAGGTACTGAGCTCATCTGATAAAACGTGATCTCATAGCCCATTTCTTATGCCATAGACGATCTCTGAGGTTAGCTCTATCAGCTAACCAGGTCGACAGGAATCAACAAACTGAAGCAATGGTGGAAAATGGGATTTGGGATTAAACAGAGACTGCCATCTAGATGGATGGCATGTCAGCTGGGAAATGGATACAGGAGCCTGACCCTGGAGCACCGAGCCCAGTGTTTTTCAGGGCACTGTGCTTGCAGATCTGGTGAACTAGATATCCATTTGCAGTACCGGCAGCAGCGATGTCCAAGCTTCTCTTAACATCCATTAACCACCCATTCCTGAAGAGGTCTACTCTGCTGGTATTCGAGGAGTTTAGACCTTTTGCCACGTAACATCTCTCAAGGTGCAAGCTGAAAGTCATAATTCGGGTGCACGTGCATTGCACACAAACCACCAAAGAGTCAGTAGCCACCAGCAATGTTTCAACCCTGCTGCTGACTGAGGTTGGCCAAAGCCACTTTCAATATGACCTATATATAAGTGTGAGTATTCATTCAGCTTCTAATGTTGAGCCTTCATTGGTCTTTCCCCCACTTTGGCTCAGCACAGGCAGTTCATCTGTAACACCCAACAAACAAGAACGCACAGGGGCACCGTCGCTAGCAGCTGTGAAATCTGATGTGAAATAGGAGATTGGTTTTTATCACATCATTGCTACCTTTTAGAGTCTTAAAATCCTTTTCTGCCAATGTGAACTTCAAGTGTTTTGTATCTTTTTCCCTGGTAGGGTTCAGTTGGAAATAAAGTATCAGGATTGCTGCTGAGAAAAACAGGTTCCTTAGTGCCGCCCGCTCACCGGTTTCTGTTGTGTCCATTTTCACAGCCTGATTTGGGAGGGTGCAATGGGACCTCTTCCATGGTGGTGATTAAAGATTACTATGCACTGAAGGAGGATGAGATCTGTGTGAATCAGGGACAGGTGGTTCAGATTCTTGCTATCAACCAGCAGAACATGTTCCTGGTGTACCAGCCTGCAAACGACCACTCTCCGGCTGCTGAAGGATGGATCCCTGGCAATATCTTGGCTCCCCTCACTAAATCCACCACAGATAATAGCGACGGAAGCATCAAGTAAGTGCCATGTTGGCTTCGCTGGGAGCACTGTGTGGATTTTTTGAGGAAAAAAAATAATAAATAAAAATAAACCCAAATGGTAGGGCATTCCTGCTGATTTTAATCTACAGTGCCATTGGAACAAGCTGGTCAATCCGCAGCGTCGGGCAGCCATGGTGGATAGCTCGGGTTTTGCTTATTTTCATTTTGTGGGGGTTTGTTTATACTTTGGAGAGAAATAAAACCATAGACGGTTAAAGATATGCTTTACGTTACACCATTTTACACCGACATGGACCTGCTTGGACTGGACTTATATTTATGTTGTATTAAGTTACTAATCTATATATTGGTTATAACAGCATCTAGCAAAAAAAAAACCCACAAAAAAATCCAGGCCCCGTGTTGGACTGAGGTTTGCTTCTCAAGGAGGAGAGATTTTGTTGTCTATGGCAATTTCCTTGTACAGCTTGTATCTTTTTTTTTAATTTTGTTTTGATTTGTTTTATTTTTTTTCTGTTTGCAGTAACTTTTGTAATATACTTTTTGGTTTGCAAGTCCCCCATCCAAGTACATTCCTGTATAAAGTATTTTGCACTATTTAAAAAAAAAAAGGAAAGAAACAAACTCATATTGATGAAGTCAGGTTGTGCAATATAATGGATAGTCGCAATGTTCATCATTGTACCTGTAATGTAACTAATTTTAAATGTACTATTTTAAATATGTAAAATAAATTTTCACCATGAGCATGTTTTAATGAGGTAAAAGAACTAGTTTGACCCTTTTTTTGGTTTTGTTTTGTTTTTTTTAATTTTGTTTATAATATTTTGTTGCTTATTTAACAAATGTGTGGATATATATTTTTCTTTTCTGATTTTTAGAACTTTGTCAGTCTGAAATGACTAATGCAAGAAAGTGGTTTTTTGGTATTAAATACAGAAGGTACAACCCTCTTTTCAGTAATACTTGTTGATTTCTTTTAACATCTAAAATGACTAGATGGTAATGCATGATGTATGCTACAAATTGTGTTACCTTACGCAAGTACCTCAAGGCGCAGAATTGAACACGAGGAAAGATTTTGTGACAGATTCGCTAAAAATAATAACTTGATCTCTGCTGCCATTTCAGTTAAGAGAAATTGTGACTTTACCTGTCAGTCAGTAATGAATGCTACCTGGAATTGCATGTTAAGCCAAAGGAATTGCTTAGCACGTCTCTTGCACATCCGCCACGGCCATTCCTGGGTTCCTCTCTAACCACAGTATGCAACCACATGCCCTTAGATTCATCCACTGTACCAGACTCCTGGTGAAGACTGATTTCATGGCAGCTGTACAGTAAAATTCTGCACCAAATTCTGTAGTCAGATGAATTGTGGCCAGAAATGTGTAACAAAATTGGAAGGTACATACATTACACTTCTCTCTTTCTTACTGCAGTGAGATTTAAAGTCTTAAATAATTTTTTCGGACTCAAACAGCTAAAAACAATTCTGAAAACAAAATCAGACTTGAATTATAGAAGTCCTTTGGGTAAAAAACAATCTGGAACTGGTGTTATCTTCAACCCTATCTAGTCTGCCAGATCATACTGACTAATTAGTTTAAGTAATGAAATTGTTTCGTAACAAATACTGTACACAAAATACATGGTAATCCAGTAGTGCCGTCACCATGTATTATTCACCGACAGGTCAAGGAGTCCATCACCCACATCCTTGACTCTTACTGTATCTTAAAGGAAAACGTAACTGTCCTGAAGTGTTGGATAACTTCCCCTGCTCTGCACATCTCATTTGGACCTTCTCCAGAAACGCCCAAATACCAGTCAGCACTTACTGTCTGGCTGAGACTTGCAGGGTGCTTTGGTGCTCCTTGTGCTCAGGTGTGACTGCCCATGCCAACCATGTGCACTGGAGACACTGATCCTGGTGGCAAAAAAAGTCAACATGACCCAGTTCAGTTTTGCGTCAGCGGCAGCATTTGCTTTTTGTTTAATTGAGCTATTGTACAGCTCCCATCAGGTGCTGAAGTATAATCAGAAAACGCTTAGGAATCAGACTCAGTGTCCTTGGGGGAGCGTCGGCTATGTGGGGCATCCTTTGAGTCCTACCTTGCTAACATACTGCGTTTTATTGGCATCGCAGGTGATCCTTGGATTACATGCAACTTGCTTTGTAAAATGTGTCAAGGTACTGTAGACGTGACATGTGCCAAACATTGGGCTTAAACATGCAAATCAAATTTGCATGACTCGAAGGAGGGCAGATGCTTTGAACCTGGATCCCAGCTCATCACCCTGCTGTTTTGAGAGCTTTACGTTTTAGACAACATACCCCTTCCCAAATTCCCCCCCAACCTGTCCACTATTTAAACCAAGTGAAATCCATATCCAGAACTGGTTTGTTTTTTTCTTAATTTTTTATGTCTGCTTTGATATGCAATTTCTGTTTTCAACACAGCATTGCTCTTACAAAGGGTGACATGGTCTTTTATTGTTCTTTTCCAAGAATAAGGTCATAGGAACAGTAAAAAGGAGTGAAAAATGTACTGGAAATGGTGCCTGCTGTGATGCTAGCCAAAACCCATGGGCTGACTGATGTCCTCTCTAAGTGGATTGGCAAAATCAGATGGGAAATTCTTGGTCTTGAGAGGCACAGAACACGTCATTCTAGGAAATGACTTGGAAAGTTAATGATGCAGCTCCTATTTATTGAACTATTTGTGTTCTGAGCAACATGTAGCAAGCAACACCTTGAATTTCTTAAATTTTTTTGTGTGTTGTACTGAGTAATCTACTAAGACCATTCTTAAGTATTTATATTTGTTTCACTGCTCTTAACCAACAAGACTGAGGACCAGATTGGTCTTTTAACTGTAGCAAAATTGAAATAAATTTCTATTTGTGACAAAGTCCCTGAAACCAGATGACCAAGTTCTAGTTGCCTATGCTTCCATCATGGACATTTTTTTCCTGCTCCATGCATATGAACAGCAACTGTGGCACAACATCTGCTTTGCAGAACTCTTTGGTTTTTAACTTCAACTCTCATTGCTGAGACTAAGACAGGCATATTGCTGGGGGCTTTCACCTTCTAGGGAATTGCAGTAATTGCAAATGTGGATGCTGGTTCCCCTTTCCAAATCCTTCCTTCCTTCTATGATTCGCCATTTGATTGCTGCGTTTTTTGGTACAACAGGAAGTCATGTTCATGGCATACCCTGCGCATGAGAAAGCGGGCGGAAAAGGAGAGCAGTGGCAAAAATGAAGCCAATGGGCCACGTAAATCCAAGGATATTCTGGGAAACAAAGTCTCTGTTAAAGTGAGTAAGGCCATCTGAAAACTCTGTGCTGCTCTCCTGCTTCCCATCCTTTCCACCCCCTATAGTACCCTCTCCTGAGAGAGGGAGGGGGCGGCAATTTTGAGTTTGGGTTTTGCTTTTTTTGTTGGTTTTTTTTTCAACTTTAGTTACCTTTTTTTTTTTTCCTTTTTTTGTAGTATCCATTTTAGCAGGATTTTTGCATGCAAGATAAAATGCAGCCTTTGTTTTTTGTTTTCTTTTTCCTGGCATCCCACATGCAAGTAAGTAATCTTCATTAAAAAACCCAACTATATACGTGGTTAAATAGCTTAAAATTGGGACGTTAGTGATTTACTGACCTCTAATCTAGCCCAATCTGCAGCTCCATCAGAGCAGCTGCGGCAGTGAGAAAGCCACTGGATGAACCAATGGCCTTGCTGAAGTTGATGAGTTTTCTTTAGGCCAATATTTCACCACATCTCAAGATAAGGGGTTCCCAACCTTGAGGTGCTTAAGGTTTTTGGTCCAAGGAGATGGTCTCAATGACCTTTTTCTTTCCATGTTAAACAGACAGGGCAGAGATGCTGACTCTGTCTTGCCAGGAGAGGGTCTCGTGTGTGTCTGTTTGTGTGTGTGTGTGTGTGTGTGTGTGTATGTTTGTCTGCGTCTCTCTCTCTCTCTCTCTCTCTCTCTCTGAGATCTCCCAGTATGGAAAAGGTTGAGAACTGTGGGGTTAAGCTCCATCTTCTGCTCTGGGTGCCTGACTACTGTGCTCCAACTCAGAGGATCAATCCCTATATACCGACCATGAGGCCTGCTCAGGACTCATCTGGGGCTTTCCCCCCAGAGGGAAACAGAGGCAAGCAAACACTTGTGATTTTGACACAACCAAAGCCCAGCCTTGATTCAGGAAAGCACTTGAGCATGTCCTTTGGATCCACCTCTCTCCAGAAGAACCCATGATTAAGTGTTTTCCTTTGCAGAGGCTTTCAGTCTTCCAAGCCTAGTGAAATAGCCCTGGCATGTGCAAAGGGAGGAACCTGCCACTGCAACCCAGGTGCCCTCACACCCACGGTGCAGCCGCCCTGCAGCGCCGAGGAAGGACTGGGCCCACGGGAAGCAGTTGCTCCAGCATGGTGGCACAGTTCTTCTTCCTCTTGCTTCCTCCTTGTTTTTACTACCTGAACAAATTGCAGAATCACTGCTGCTTCTTTGGCAAACGCATGTCTTTGCCCTTGCTTCCCTTGTTTTGTTGTCAGTTTGTTTTTAGTTTGTTTTTTTTAAGGAGCATTTTCTCTACTGTTACCCATTTCCATGCTGCTCACAACTGTGCTGCTCTGCCCTGACTAACCAATCTCTTTTCTAATCTCTTGTTCTCTTTCTTCCTCTTCATGCTGCCAAACAAGGAGACAAACAGCTCAGAGGAATCAGAGTGTGATGACCTTGACCCCAATACTAGCATGGAGGTAGAGACAATCATCCTTGTGATTATTTTTTTCCCAAGAAAATTTTCCGTTTTGAAATGCCTTTACTGAAAGGGGAGCTGGTGGATCTGTATCACTTGCAGACGTGTGCCAGTTCAGTGTGAGTCACACAAAGCGACGATTCTGGGTTTGCCAAGGGCTGGAGTTTGGGCTGCCTTTGTGGTGGGAGCAGTGGAGGAAGCTGAGGAACAAGCTCCTGCTGAGCTAGAGGCTCGTGTAGTCACCTTCAGTCACTGTTTTCCACCTGGTACCTCATTCCAACAATAATGCGTGTGTGTCAACTCTGATAAACATAGTAGCTTTTTATGTTAAAAACAACCCTTGCCCTGGCTGAGCTGCTGGTCAGGCCTCTGTTATAAATCATTGGAGCAAATGTTGTTCTACCACAACCAGCGCTTTAAACTATCTAGAAAATCAGAAAAGACAATGTTTCCTTTTTCTTCTAAAAGAGTGGGAAATTGCATTTCTGTCAGAGTACTGAAGGACAATGGTAAAACAGTTGTGTGAATGTACTCGTATCACAGGCAAAGCTGATGCAAATAGATGAACTCAAGTCATGGTACATTATGCTACTCTTTTTCCAGTGTGAAACCACCAGTTCTAGTGGAGTGCCTTGTTGAGAGAGCCTGAAGGAGGTTAAAATCATGAACAGTTATATATCTGGTTCTTCTCAGTCCATATCTTGCAGGATCCATTTTTTTTTCTGTGTATAGTGACCACGCCAAGCATTTCTATACATTGTACCAACACTGAAAGAGGTTCCTGCTGAAACAGGCAAAGACATGGCTCAGAGATGTAGTAGTTTTGTGGCAATGACAGGCCAGGTCACTGGAGAGCAGGGATATCTGTGTCCTAGCAGATCTCCCGGATGCTGTTAGCCAGGCTGCACTATAAACATCCTGCAAAAGAAAGCTGATCCTTCTCCTGGAAGGAAAAAAAAAGAAGAGGGAGAAGTGTTTTCAGGTGCACCACCTTAGCTGTTAACCTGAAAGGTTGCTTTTATTTTAATTGTGTTGGGATGTGTACTAAAGGAAAGCTTTTGACCCAGCTGACATCCTGGAGATTGAATTGTCCTTACAACTAAAGCTGCATTATTCTCAGGGGTGTGTTTACATTTTCAAAGAGCGTTTTGCCAGTCACAGGTAACAACGAGAAATGTATGTGTTTGTTAAAAGGCAGTGCCCAGTTACTGCATGGGAGTCTGTGCAAGCTTTCACTCACTGAAAATTGTCCTGTGGGGTAACAGGTGGCTGAGACACAGGTGTATTGTACAGAGCTGGGTAAGAATCACTGTTCTTTTTGAAGAGGATTTCTGTGTTTTGACTTTGCTCAATAGGAGGAAAAACAGATGTTTTAAAATTGCCAGTGGGCATATCTGAGTCCTACAGTATTGGCATTTCTGGTTAGTTCCAGCATACTCCACATGGGTCTTTTTAATTGTTTGATTTGGGTTTTTACCATGGTGCAGTCTACTGTTCTGAAGTTCAGGAGAAAAAAGCGTTTCTATTTAAATCAAAAGACATTAATGTGAAGTCTTAGCTATGATATCAATCTGTTATTGGGGGGGTAACTATGTGCCTGGTGTATGACTCGATTTACACTCAGAAACCACATCCTGCATCTCCCAGGTCACTGGCTGGAGGTGCTAGTGTCACTGTGCTGAAGTCCCCAGGAGCCACACTGTTCCTCATGGCTTGGAAAGCTCAAATTGGCTTCTGAGAAAAACTCTCTGGGGCTGAGCAAATGTTTAAAATGGCAGAGGGAGAGAAATTAAGAGAACAATTGTGGGGGTGACTTGCTAAGGTCACACTGTCCTCCAAGGAGCAGTGTGGCCCTTGCCTTGTGCTGAGTTTAGTACATCTGCAGCCTGGAGTGAGTGTGGTCAGCTCGTTGGTCTGACTAAGAAATCCTGGGGCAGGGGATTGCTGGTATCCAGTATAAACTAAACAAAATCATCTGGAGTGAGCAAAGCAAGGACAGGCTATTAAATGCTCGTGAAGACCTAGAAGAGGCCATGAGAAGGTCTGATCTGTAAAGGTCTGGGGTATTCACCTACTGGGAGCCATAGTTGTTCTCCCTTTCCTTTCCTTTCGAGTGTTTTGATTCTCCTTTTCAAATGTGTTACAAGAAATTACCTTTATTACAGCCTTGGAAGCCAAAGTCTTTTCTCATTAAAACAGAGGCAAGACGAACTACTTCCACCACCTGAGTCTGCTTCAGGGCTTCATCAGTGTTCTAGGCTTTGTGTACTAGGCTTAAATAACTGTTAAATAGCTGTGCTGCCCCTCCACCCCAGCCTGTGTGTGCAGTGAACATCACCATCTCACCTGGTTTTCCTTTCCCTGCTCTGCATGGTACATCCCAGCAGAGCCATTGGTGACCTCCCAGGGCAGTTGGAGAAAACATGACCACCTGCCCAAGGAGGAGGAAGACCTTGTCCTCACACTTGTCTAGGCTCGTGATGGATTTTATAGACACTGGGAGTGCTGTGTCCCAGCCATCAACATTCAGAGGTGCATGAGGCCCTTCCTGTGTCATTAAGGTGGAGTCATCTGTAGCTGTCATTACAGCCAGGTAATAACAGGGCAAGTCACCTGGCTTCTCCTATAGGACTGTCACCCCTGACATCCCTCTTCCTCCCACTATGCATGAGAACGTGCACCCAGTGCTGAAACAGAGAGAGCAGTCTCTAAATGCAAAGCAGACCTATTAATTACATGGAAGTGTCGGTGCAATTTGCCTCCAACCTACTCACTGTGTAAGAAGTTGGTAAGCTGGTCATACTATCCATGAAGTCCCTCAGGTACTGTGGCTTTTCAGATCTTGCTTGGCTTGCTATTTATGAAATACCACAGTAAATTCTGTTCAGGAGATTCCAGATTTCTGAAGCACTTTGCCTTTGTTTCAAGGGGACACACAGTCAGAAAGAAATGTGGAAAACATACATCATGAGAGCAGGAAACTGAAATTCTGGGTGACACTGCTTAAAGGAGCTAAAAATGCCATTACTGGGGTTTTGCCCACACAGAGACATGCTGGCCTCGGAGAACTTCCCATTCATTGTAGCTTTAACTAGAAATAGTATCTCTTGATGACTGGCTTTTTTTCCTCTTTGTTTATTAATATGTAATGAAAGTGCATGAGGGTGGAAATGAAGTTTGATTTTTACCTCTAGTTTTCTGCTTTATGCTGTAGTTTCACAAAACAGAAGGCACAAACTCATCTATTAAATATGTGAGTGTCGGAGCAGGCACTTAAGGAACATGTGTAGCCACGTGAGTGATAGGAGTAACCTATATTTAAGGAAGATTGGAGACTCCCTTTCCACATGTCTGTAGTTAATTGCACAGAGACAGACAACTCCACTTCTGGGAATAAGGTGTATGCCCTTGTGAATCAGCAAATATCATCCACCCCTGAGTCTGGGGTCCTGAACAGTGACACAACTAATTGTCCTACAATTCTGTGTCGTAAAGTCTCATTGGGTTTTGATAATGCTAAAGGGGTCATAAGTCAGCTGTGCAGATCCCATTGGGCTACCTCTCCTGTCTAAGTGAATGATCTTCCAGCAGTCTGAAGGTCTGACTGAGCTAAATCTCACTGAATCCAGCAGGAGCTTCTCCCAGCTTTGGGATGGACCCCACACATCTTGTTTTGCACAGCAGGACTCCAACTGCAGCGCGATACAAGTTCTGCTGGTGGACACATGTCTGTCACTGAGCCTGTAGTGTTTGTTCCTCTGTGTTAGGAAAGATGAAACCCAGGCCTGCCCTGAGTCACTGGACATGCCATCATTAGATTAGTGAGCTGGGCTGTTGCCAAGGTACATATGCTGGGCTTCTTAATCTGCTTTTTTCAGTTAATGACATTTTAGCGTTTTAGAACTACTCAGAGACACTTAAAGCAAGATAAGCACTAGGAAACATCCTGTAAGGATGAATACTGTGTTGAGTAAGTAACGGCTTGGTGGATACAGCATTGGCTCCAAGTCAATACTCAGCTCAGGCCAAGAATTCCCAAGTGCTTTAGGCAAATACCTTCACCCCCTGCCTGAGGTTGTCCATCTCCAGAGCAGATCTAAATACTCTAAATCTAATACTCTCTTGGCAAAATCTTGTACACTACTGGAAAGAAAGCCTTTCCTGACCTGTTATTACAGTGTGAATGATTACAATCCTGAGAACTCCCTATGTTTCCCTGGGACAGCCTCCATGGGCAACACCACTGTGCTGCTGCCCTGCCCTGAGTAGCCAGGGATTGTTGAGACAGATCAGGAAGGTGGCTCACCAGGTGTGACATAGCCTGAGCTTGCAGCACAGACATGGTGGTTTAGCTTTTGGAAAAGCAAGATGTAACACTTTACGTGCAGGAAGGGGTACAGTGCTATGAAGTGGTACCTGGAGTACAGACATCCAACAGCCTCAGCCATAGAAGCAGCCAGCCATTAAGGCCTTGCAGCAGGAATCTGATGAGGATGAGAGGTCTTCTGACTGTACAGCAGTCACCATTCCTTGTGGCTTCTCCCATCACTCTCAAAGGTAGCTGAGCCCATCCATGCTTGGGTGCCAGAAGGCATCCCCCATCCCTGCCAAAAGGCTGATGCCATGGGACATTTCACCAGATGCCATTTTAAATTATATTTTTTCTTTGCTGGCATTTATCCATGTGTGATGGAATCCTTATTTGCTCATTTTATCAGGAACTTCCTCTTGTTAATTTGTTTCTCTTTTGGGGAAGGAGAGGCTGGTAACACCATGAGCTTGTCACCCCAAAAGTCTCAAAGTAAAAGTTGACGTAGTCAGTGATGAGTGATAGATCTTTTCCTACAAATTGGAGTTGGCTTAATTTCTCTGTAACTAATTTCTGGGAATCGTTAATTTTTATTTTTTTTTTTTTGAGTAAGGGAGCAAGGAATATGATGCTGACTCTACTATCAGCATGTGCAAATGTGTCAATATTTTATTTTAACTCGGTGACCAAGA